CACCCGGGGCGGGGGGAGGTGGGGCGCAGAAAGTGCCTCCCCCCAACCCGGAGCGGAATGGAGTCGTCGGGCGGGAACCGGGCCGTGAGGGAGTGACCGGCCGGAGGCATCAAGGGAAGAGAGGATATGGCACTGAGTGCCGTGGGGATGTTCGGACTGAGGTGGGACTTGGTCAGCTCAGAGGTCTTGTCCAGACGAATTGATCCTGTCATTCGGTGGTGCCCCCCCGGGCTGTTCTGGGTGGTTCAGGTAACCCTATCCCTGATACGGAAATTGGGGCCGTGCTGACCCCAAGTGACCTCACCCCAGGTGACCCCACCTTTCTGTGGCCTTTCTGTGCCCACCCACCCAGCACACACAGGCCCACGACAGGCTGCCCCAGCACTTTGGCCAGGTGTCATAGCAGCCCGAGAAAGCCCCTATGGTACCTTAAACTCGTGTTCCTTCCATGTGTTCACAGATCTGTCCTGGGAAACTGTGAATGCCTCATCCTTGGAAGTGTTCCAGGCCAGGCTGGATGGTGCTCTGAGGAACCTGGTCTAGTGAAAGGTGTCCCTGTCTGTGGCAGGGGGTGGAACGAGGTGATCTTTAAGGTCCCTTCCAACCCAAGTCATTCTGTGAGTCTCTGTTTATGGTATATTTATCAAACACACACCTGATAAAGTGTGTGCACCTTTTCCAGGTTAAGTGACGGTGGCCCATCCACCGTGGTCGCAAATCGGTAGATTCGCACCAAAAGGATAAGGATCTTACAAGGACGCGATAGAACATGCCTTGCAGCGTGGGACGGCAAGAGACCCAGGCCCAATCTCAAGCCCGGAACAACTGCACACAACCAGTGACGTGGCCCTGTACAGCACAAATGCATCCTTCGCCTGTCATACGATCCCCCAGAGGCCCAGTTTTGCCCAGGACACCACTGCTCCACACCCCTGGACTGGCACCAGCGCGGGAGCTTGACATGTGGCAGTCCTGGGATCACCGGTTAACTCCCATCCTACCAACTTTAATTGGATTAAGCGGATGGGTACATGGATGCCCTGCTGCACAGTTGTCTGTAAAGCAAGAGCCGCTGGGATCAACTCCTTGCCCACAAACTGGCCCTGGCGTGATACAGCATCCCTGGTGGAACCACCCTAACCAACCCAGCGTCACCACCACCGTTGGGAGGAAGGGTTTGGGGTCGATGGTATGACCAATGACTCTGACTGTGAAGATGTAATATAAATGATATCTATGCTATATAATTGCCCCATGCAGGATTTGTTCCCCCTCAGATTTTTCCAGACCCAGATTACCATATTTTAAAGAACAATCCTTGCCATCCTGATGGCACTACCTGACTGATGAGGATGTCATCTGCAAATTGGATTAGGGCTGATTTTGTATTTATTTCCAAATGACTAAGGAAAATATTGATTACATATGCATGTAGTACAGCACATATGATCCTGGAGGGTCCTATTAAAAATAGCCTTCTTCAATAGTGATTTATAACCACTCAAAAAAAATAATCTCTAACCAGTGTTTAATGTATTCTTCACTGATGCTTTATTACCCTGTTTAATTAAAATATTGTGTAGTTCTAAGTAAAAATGCTTCTAAAAGTTTATTACAAGGGAGGAAATCGAATTATTTGTTGTCTTTTAGAAGCATGAAATGAGATTTCTATTGGATCTCTGACTGGCATTACTAATTCTTTAATGAGTGACATAACAACGTTTTTTGGTATCTATCCAGAACATTATCCATAGATCTGATGTTACTAAATCTACATTTACTCCATATCATGCAGCCTCCTTTCCCGAAGACAGGTACAAACCTGACACTTTTTTAGCCTCCTAAAATTGCTCTAGTCTATCAAGGTTCACTAAAGAGGAATGTCAACACACAAGGGGTCTCTGCAGTCAGCTGTTTCCAACCTCCTGGGCCACAGTTATCCCTGGAAGACAATAGCTCCACTGGTCACTAATGCACTGAAATTAATCACATCACTGTCAAGTGACCCCCCCCCACATGTATCTTCCTGCTTCTTTACAAACATAGATCATAAATGTTCAATGAACACTTCTGCATTGTTATTGACATTTTAATCATGTCCATCTAGTAATGGGCCTGTACCATTCATTTCTAGGGTTTTCTGGGACTTAGCCTTGCCAGCTATGGATTTCCTTTGATGTGCTTCACTTGCAATAACTACTCTGCTTCTCACAGCTTCTCATTTATACCAACACTTTTTTATTTCCTGCTTTCTTCATTTTGGCTATTTCTTTTTTAATTTTACTCACACTCTCCAGTCCATTAATAAAACAAAAAGTTTTCTTCTCTCTTGATTTTGATCGTCCAATGAATTCTTTAAAAAGAGCTCATAATTGCCATTTTTAGACTTCTACCTAAATTTTTCTTCCTGCTTGCACTCTTATTTTCTGATGATTTGGAAATACAGCTCTTTTAGAGCACAAGGTGTATACAAATTCAGGTCACAAACAGTGCTCCCCAGCCAACCACTGAATTGCAATCCAGGAATCTCTGTTTGGGTTTTTTTACTTCCTTCATTATAATAAAGTCCAAAAGAATTTACCTTGTGCCACATGCCAAATGGCGCATGTCATTTTTAGTAACTTAAATGACATTTTATTACTGTACCCATATGGTCTTGTGCTACTATTTTCTTTATTTAGATAACTCCTCTCTTGAGTGTCTACCCATTCATATGTTTATAAAGGGTAATCAAATTCCTTGTTTCTCAAGGCAAACCAAGCCAAAGGCTTTTATTCTTCCCTTACACATTTGGCTCTCTGCTCTAACTTGCCCTCCCCTGCACCTGTCTCCATTTAAGTTAATTCTTCCTGCGTGGTGATGTTTTTAACAGTCACGTTGAGGGGTAAATTTAGTTAAATTTTAAACTCTGTTATATTTCTAGACAATGAAGAAGAACTTAATTCCTTGCCATGCTTTTTACAGTAACTTATCCCTTGTGCCACCAGTTATTTGAGGGACTCAGAGACATAACCACAGACCCCAGAAACTTCCAGAATATCGAGATATATCAGGACTAGACTTGCACTTCAACCTTTGTGCTGGGTCATGAAGGTTTATTACACTTAAGGTAAAACATCAATCACCCCGTGCAGGTGTCCCTCTCACACCCATGGGCATGACCTCATTTTCTCGTGTTCCCTCCCACCCCCCGCCCAGATCAGCAGCCTTCCAATTGCAGCCTTTTCTTTTGGGGAGGATCTGGCAGTTTTCACCAGAGTACACGTTTTCTTCTAGACTCCTCCTAGATTCCGTGGCACCGAGGAATAATGAATAATAATCAGAGTGCGAAAGCTCTTGTTTTTCTTGTTTTGGAAACATTTCTCCAAGGGATGGACAACGTTATTCTCGAATCTTTATGACAAACATGGCAATACAGCCCTATAATTTTCTCTCTGTATTAAAAATTTGCGCCAACAAAACCAAACTTCCTGCTTTTTGCAAAGCATGACTCACATCCTCCATTCTGTTTTGACTGACTGACATAAGAGATCTATTTCAGTCATATGACAATAACTTTGAATCTGACTAGCCACTTATGTGGAAATCAAAGCCTGTTCTTGCAGGATGGATGGATGTTAACACGAATGGTGTTTTACATAACTCCACTGAAGATCTGCCTGCTTTTCCCGAATTACTTGCTCATGGAAGAGCGAGGCGCGGCAGTGAAAGCCCAGCGTGCCACCTCGTGGCTGCCCTGTGCCCTGGGCCGTTCCTAGTGCCTCCTTTTTCCAGGAGAATCCAGACCTTCCAAAACCTGCATATGTTGTAATTAGCATACCCACACCCCTGCTGATGCCTTCTCACAAGCAGAATAAAACCAAGTAATTCTTCACCCGACAGATCAAACCAGAGACAAGCAGGGAGGCAGGTGTTATTCAGAGGAAATGTCACCCAACTGGAGTTTGCAGGATGAAAAATTAGGTCACAGGAATGTAAATTGCAGGGATGTAACAGGCTTGGAGTGCTGCTACCAACCAGAAAGAGAGCTTGTCTTGGAAATTCTCAGTCTTGCACTTGGTTTCACCAGTGTGTTGGTGAAGTTTTACTTTCATGGGTCTTGGATTTTAGCTGTTCCATGTCTAATCACTGAGAGAGGAGTACAGTTAATTGGATCAACAAATTTGCCTCCCAGAGGGGCTGTGCTTTCCCCAGGATTTCATTCAGGTTAGAATGCACTTTTCCAGCTGCTTTAGGATGGGTTAAGCCTGCCATGGAAGATGGGTCCAGAACCATCCCTCTATCAACTGACAGACTTTGCTGCCTTACTCAGGAAAGGTCAGGGAAAACTGACCTTGATTTTTGTGGTTGCTTTACCTTTCAGAATGAACAGCTCGCTGCCAACATATGAAAGTAGCAGGAAAACCTGACAAGCAATAAGATGGGAATGCTTTTTATTTTCTTTTTTTCTCTGTCTTAGACCAGGGCAGCTGAAGCCAGTTACAAAACTCCCTTTCAGAAAGATATATTAAGTTGGGCTGATCTAGCTCGAACTCAGGTAGTTCAACCTCAGCTGAACTACCAGTTCAAACACCAGTTCAACTTCACTCACCTGGCAAGAAGAAATTGCCTTTTCTTTCCTGTGTGGCAAGGTGAATCAGTACAGGGTCATGGGAATGCCAGCACCAGCACAAACTCTGTACCCAGGCTGTGTGTGGATGGTGGCTGAAGGGAGTGAAGCAGGCTCTTCCCTTTTTGTCAACAGCAAGCTGTTATCTCAGTACCATGTAATTTTCCTACCATGTAATTTCAGCCTCAGATGCAGAATTCTGCACCCGGAGTCACGCAGCCACCGTGACGGCCTGAAAGGGCTGAGCTGCTCCGTTCCTCAGCGTGGTTTCTGTTGGGGTTGACACCTCACAGTTGCCACTGTTTGACAGGCAGAATGGCTGCTCAGAGCAGGTTCAAACACCTCCTCAGAATGAAGCACAGAGGGCTCCTGGAGAAGCTTTGACATGGGACAAAACCACGCTTGCACAAAAGGACTTTGAGCTGTTTGCAAGCAGAGCTGGTTGTTGCTGAAGTTCACAGAACATCCATTACTAAGTTGTCCAATACCAATTTTTTTTGCACAGGCAAGACTCAGCACAGCATAAATGAAAGATTTTCTGCTTTCACTGGAGCTGTAACTCACCAACAGATTGAGATAAACTGCTAACAGAAAGGTCATTATCTAGAAGTAGAAATGTTTGTGTTTCACCAGGCACTGCAAGATGTGTTTCAAGCCAAAGCTATCAGCTGTTGCTGTGAAGGGACAACAGGTTTATCACTCCACACTTCTGCACTAACACTCCCCACAACAGTGGGATTTGAGAGTAGCCCAGAATGGGCTTCCCGAGTCAGCATAAAACCCTAGTGACTGTTCTTCATTTCAGTCAAATACTTAGGATACTGAACAGAATAATCATAGAATCACAGAGTGGCCTGGGTTGGAAGAGACATTAAAGATCATCTCTTTTCAATCCCCTGCTGTGGGCAGGAACACCTTCCACTAAATGAGGTTGCCCAGTGCTCCTTCCAACCTGGCTTTAAACACTGGGACAGCCACAGTTTTTCTGGGAAACCCGTTCCAGTGCTTTACCACCCTCACAGTAATTATTTTTTTTCCTAATATTTAATTTTTTTTATTCCTATTTAATTTAATCTAAACCTACTCTCATTTTAAAGCCATTCCTCCTTGTCCTGTCACTACATGATCTTGTAACGTCTCCCAAAACTCAGCTGCTTTTTCAGTTTTACCCTTCTTGCATCATGGAAGAACACAGTGCTTGGGTCTGATTCCCTCTGAACATATATCCCACTAGATGTGTGTATTTACACTATAAATTGGTAACTTGCAGGAAAAATCGTTTCCAGCTGGCAGGAGGCACTGAACCACTGCACAGAACCACGTGCTGCTCTTAACAGCTAGTCACCCACTCTGTACAGAAAGGTAAGGCCTCACCGAGCTAAGCCTGGGCAATGATAATAGAGTCTTTGTTGAAATCCCACCCCATTGTTCAAGGACTCATGTGCCTGCCCAGGGAGAACAAAAGGAAATGTTTCTAGTCCTTGAAAATCACAGCAGAATCGCAGAGGTTGGCAGCAAAGCAAGCCTGTCATACACAGAATTAAAAAAGAGAAGCCAGCGGCAGCTTTTCTGTTGAGCAAATAAAAAGATTATTCTCTATGAATTGTGGCCTGACCTTGGAGTGAGTACTAAGGGGTGAATACCTGCAATTCTCATCCACCTTTGTGGGATTGTAGCTGGAGAGAAACTGGGGTGCCTGTGAATGGTCCTAATGTGGCTCACAGGAGTGAAAATGCCGGTGTAAGAGGGACTTCAAGGTTGCTCTGCCTCTCTAATATGCTTCAGAAACAACTTGATCAGAGGTCATCCCAGGGTAGAGGAAAAAACTATGGCAAATAAAGTCTCTGTGTGCTTCAGGACAGGCGATCTCCACGGGGCTTTGTCCAGACCCTCCTGCAGGGCCAGTTAAGGAGTAAGTGCTGCTTGATACCATGTGCTGACAGGACCCCTGGCATTTTTCACGTCCATGTTGCTACTTTTGAGGGAGATCGTGCTAGAAAGTTTGAGGGGAAGTCCAAGAAAGGCTCTTCCTCAAAGCCTGTGGAAGCCCGGCCAGAGTTACAGCGGCTCCGGGAGCTCAGTGCATTGCCTGGCCTCCTACAGGGGCTTCTTCCCCCGCCATCCTCCCTTCTCCCCCGGCGGCACAGCCCGCATCCCTCTGCTCTTCGCGGAAATGCCCGAACCCTTCCAGCCCTGGCAAACCCGGTCCATCCGTACTTGTACATACATCGATGCAACAAGTTGCTCCGGGGACTGTCGGGCATTGTGGGAGCTGTAGTACGCCGCTCGCAGCACTACAAGTCCCAGCCTGCCGGCGGAGGAGAAAGAGGAGGAGGTGGAGGAGGCGGAGGAGGAGAGGAGCCGGCACGGCCCAGGCCTGCAGCCCGTGAGGAAGAGCCCCCCGGGGGCGGGCCGCGCCGGCATGCG